GAAAACGGGAGCAGGGAGAACGAGGGTGAAGGAAAGAAAGACGAGGGACCGCGGAGGGGGGAAAGTGGTTGATGGGGGGGCGGGGCAGGGCAGGAGCAGGCGGAAGGGTGCAGGAGGGGTAGGGAGGGCGGAAGGAGGCAGGCACAGGGAGAACAGGCGCAGGAGAAGGGAAGAGGCAGGAGAGGGGACCACGTCGTAGAGACACCTGGGTTCTTGGGTTCATTAGGGTCCCCAAACACTGTCCTTCGGGACCCCTGGGTTTCCCGAAGGCTCCCTCGGGGAATCCTAAAAGATTTTCGTACATGCCAACGCCTCCCCGCGCAGACGTTGGGGAAGCGAGGGGCGATGTTCCAGAGAAGACAACCCCGCCGACTGGTGAGGGAGGCCCTGGGGGCTCCCCCGCTTGACTCTGGACGCCGGCGGTCGCGCCGAAAAGGCGGGGGCGCGTCGAAACGAGCGCCCGGCGATGAGAAGGGGGGGCAGGATCGTCACGGTTTGGGGCACCCGTGCAACGGGCCGACGGTTCCCCCTGGGCGACGCTGACAAGGCGCTCGCCGAAACGAAAGAGTTCGCCACCCACGCGATCCGGCCTCCCAGCGAATGAACGAAAGGCAATAGGAGTCCGAAGAACAGGATGAGAAGAAGGACGACGGAAGAAGGACCGACGCGAGGCGTCACGGCCGCCACCCAACGATCAAACGAACGAGGATGATCAAGGATCAGTCCGTCGGAACCTCCGAGCGCGCTCGCGCAAAATCAAGGCAGCCATACTGTTTCTTTGTATCGTGGGGTCTGGGAGGTAATACGGAACTGGGCACCCCAATATTGGAAAAGGGCTGCCACGCCCGTCGATCGCCGCGTCTCCGAAGGAGCGGGGCGTCGGGGGTGCTACGAAGGGAAGTTCCCCAGCAACAGTATATGTAGCCGCGGACTGGGCCCGCGCGAGGGCCCCTTCCAGGCGGGCGGCTCGCGGGCTCGCGGGCAAGATGGGGCGGCGCCCCCTGCGCGCGCAGCGAGAAGGACAGGGGGGGAATCGAGTGTAGGAACGGCGGGATGCCTCGGGAGGGGAGGGGGGGGGACAAACAGCTCCCCCCCTCCCGCCCGCCATCGCCCTTGGCCCACCCTACGCCCCTCTTAGGGAGGACAGAACTCTCCAGTTGTGGCGATGGAGCAACACATGTGAACATCGCGCATATCCATGGGCTGGGCGACGCAACGCGGCGGAGGACCGTCTTCGGCCCGAGGGCTTTCGATCAAAAAGCGCGCTACAAGTTGAACGCAACGTGGAGATCGCGCCAAATCTGGGGGGGGGGCAAAGCGGGCCCTCTCCAACCGCCGATCATCGACTATCAGAAAGAAAATCAAAACATAAAAACTAGCCTCCAAACTTTCTGCTATTGGTCGGAGCTGAAACTGTCGCCACTTTCGTGGGCTCCTGGGAGGCCCAGCGGAGATACGTCCAACGCGGACCACCTCGAGACCTCGCGGTGCCCTGGGGGCTTTCCATCTGCGCAACTGTCGCCACTTTCGTGGGCTCCTGGGAGGCCCAGCGGAAGTACGTCCAACGCGGACCACCTCGAGACCTCGCCGCCCCCTGTGGGGCTTGCCATCTGCGCAGTTGTCGCAACTTTCGTGGGCTCCTGGAAGGCCCAGCGGAGGCACGTCCAGCGCGGACCACCTCGAGACCTCCCCCCCCCCCTCTGGGGGGCTTGCCATCTGCGCAACTGTCGCCACTTTCGTGGGCTCCTGGGAGGCCCAGCGGAGGTACGTCCCACGCGGGCCACCTCGGTACCTCACCGCCCCCTGGGGGGCTTGCGATCTGCGCAACTGTCGCCACTTTCGTGGGCTCCTGGGAGGCCCAGCGGAGGTACGTCCCACGCGAACCACCTCGAGACCTCGCCGCCCCCTGGGGGGCTTGCCATCTGCGCAACTGTCGCCACTTTCGTGGGCTCCTGGGAGGCCCCGCGGAGGAACGTCCCACGCGGACACTTCGGTACCTCTCCGCCCCCTGGGGGGCTTGCGATCTGCGCCACTTTCGCCACTTTCGTGGGCTCATGGGATGCCCATTTGTGTAAACTTTTTGGGCGCGGTTCTTTCAATGCCCCCGAGTTCCATTTTGTATGTTTGCCGGTCCTTTGCTTGCTGCGCTGTTCTGAAATCACTGCTGGGCGCTCTTCTTGCGCGCTGCGGGTCCTTCAGAATGACAGTCAGCATTGGGTGGTCCTGAATATAATCGCCACATGTATAGAAAGGGTTGGGTACGTCACAGGGTAATTGCTTTTTTCCTCGGGCGGCGACGCGCGCATTGTCACGAGAGCGCCTAGGTCAACAGATGTGAAACTATGTAGCCTGCCAGGGCGTGAGCTTTTCAGCACGTAGCGACAAGCTACATCGGGGACATATTATTTTAGAGGAACAGAACACGTCATGAACAGAAGCTGTGGGAGATGTTGGACGAGAGATTTTCAGCACGTCGCGACAAGCCACATCAGGGACACAAAATGCGAGGACAAGAACACATCATAAACAGAAGCTTTGGGAGATGACGGACGAGGAGGAGGAGGAGGAGGAGGATGAGGAAGAGGAAGAGGAAGAGGAGGAGGAGGAGGAGCAGGAGAATGAGGAGGAAGAGGATGAGGAGGAGGAGGAGCAGGAGGAGGAGGAGGAGGGCTGACATCCAGGCCGCCTACTCGTAGTCCTGGTCCTGGGCCGACTGGACGGCAGGCGCCTTCGTCTTCCTGGCCTTACACCACCAGGCGCACGCGACGACCCCCATCACACCGAGGACGAGGGCCGCGCCTGCCGCCTTGGAGTGGCCGCCCAGCGCGTCCGCGCCCGCGCCATCAGCTGCTGCCGCGGCGGCGCCTTCGGGGCAGAGCCTCCACCCCTTCGAGTTCACGTCGTAGTCGCTCGTCCAGACGATAGGGCCCATCGGCCAAACGAAGTCGGGGCCCATCGTGCCGCTGTAGATCTGGCCGTTGATCGTCAGCGTGTCGTAGCCCCACTCAGTGAGGAACGGGTCGGCGGTAACGTACGACACCTTCGTTGCGTTCACCCCGATGACGCACTTCTCGTCCGGCCCGTAAGGCTTGGGGAAATTCGGGCTCAGTATGCAGTCGCTGGCGTCCTTCGTGCACGGGCCCGAGGCGACAGCCCACGCGACGCCGTCTGGCACCACCACCCCCGCTGCATCGCCATCGGGTTTGGACACATACTGCGTGCCGGTGTACGTGCCTTCCGTGCCTCCGCCGCACACGCAGCACGCCTCGAGGGGGCTCACCCCGTTCTCCTCGAGGGCCGTCCCCACAAAGCTGGACAGAGAGCCCCACTCCTCGTGCCACCCACTGCCTGGCTTCCCGTCTCGGGTGCAGTAGAAGTACATGGCGTAGTTTAGGCAGCCGTCTCCGTCCGAATCCGCCCAACCCGCAATGTCCGCGCACTGGTTGTCGTTGTAGCCCTGGAAGGTGTGACTGCCGCCACCGCAGGCGCAACAAGCAGATGACGCGTCGTACCCCGCCATCGTGTAGGACTGGATAGTTCCCCAATCCGTCTCCCACATCGCGCCGGTACCACCTGACGTCGTGCAGAACTCGTTGAATTGGTATGAGAAGCAATCGTCGCCGTCAGAATCGGACCACCCTGGCGGGTAGTCTGTACAACCAGGAACTGACATGGTCTCTGGCCTACAGTAGCCCCACGCGTAGTCCTCGCATGCCTCATCTTCCACGTAGCAATAAGACTCGCTGTAGTAGTAATAGAACAAGTCGGAGCTGCGGGAGTCGCCCCCGAAAAAGTTGCAGCATCCCTCGGAGCACTTCTGGTCGCCCTCCTGCCAGCTCTCCTTGCACTTGCAGTCGCTCCAAGTGTACCGGGCTGCTGGCGGCGTCGGCGTCGCTTCCTGGCCCGCGGCGGCAGCCGCGAGAGCAGTGGCCGCCAGTGGGCCCCTCGCCCACCGCGGGGTGGGCATCCTCTGGGTGTTCATCTGTCCTGGCCGCCGCTGTCGGGCGGTCGTGGGGCCTGTACAGCTGTCTTGGAGACTGTGCAGACGACACGGACGGACATTGGAAGAATATGCGTTTTCCGATGGGAATTGGACGATTTTTGCCTCTTGGGGCTCTCCCGGGATTCCTCCTGGGCAGTCTCGGGAGCCCCTGCCTTGGAGGCCTCTGAGGCAATCCTGAAGCTCGCTTGGGGTCCTCTGGGGGCGTACGGGCGCCCTCTTGAGCGTCTCTGAGCCAGTTTGGGGCCGTCTTGGTGCATCTCGGGACCCAGGGAGCTGTCTCGGAGCGCCCGGGGGAGGACCCGGGGAGACTTTTCGCACAGAAACCTTCTCGCACGCAAAGGTCGCTGCATTGTAGGAGAGACTAGCGTGCAAGACCTGTCCTACGAAGCAGAGCTACATCTCACGGCAACATCGAAGCCCACAACCACTGCTCGCCTTTCTGGCTCGAGCTAATCCAGCAACTACATGTGCTGTCTTGGGAATTCAGTTGCACCCCCCCCCGTATCGTGGTATCTAAGTGTCGTCATCCGGCACCCCCCAGCTAAGCCCCCAATAGCTTGCTAAACAACGAGTCGCTTCCCTGGCTTGCTCACACGAGCAAATGGGATCACTGTACATAAGCACATCCAGATCCATCAGTGTTTCCCAGGGTCGCTGAGCAACCGCAGGGTCTGCTGCCACTACCCGCCTTTCGCGCACGCGCTGATCCCAGCGTTGTAGCTGGTGGTGACGGCCTCAAGCGTCGCCTCCCGCATCTGGCTGAGCACCACCAGAGCCCGCTGCCACTGCAAGCCTTTCTCGCACGCGCTGATCCCAGCGCTGTAGCTGATGACGGTGCAGTCCAACTTCGCCTCCCACATCTCACGGAGCAGCGCAGAGCCAGCTGCCACTGGTACCCCTTCTCACACGAGCTGGTCCAGGCACTGTATGTAATGACGTTGGACTTCAGCTTCGCCAGACTCCTCTCGTGGTATCCTTGGTTGTCAGCCGGCATCATTCAGCTCAAACCTCCAAAGCTCGTTAAACAACGACAGCGCCTGTTGCCATTCTCCGTTTTGCTCACACAAGCACACGGGATCACTGTAAATAAGCACATCCAGATCCAACGATATTTCCGAAGACTCGTTGAGCAACCGCAGGGTCTGCTGCCACTGCCCGCCCCTCGCGCACGCACTGATGCCAGCGTTACAGCTGGTGGTGTCGGGCTCAAGCTTCGCATCCCGCATCTGGCTGAGCAGCACCAGAGCCCGCTGCCACTGCAAGCCTTTCTCGCACGCGCTGATCCCAGCGCTGTAGCTGATGACGGTGCACTCCAACTCCGCCTCCCGCATCTCGCTGAGCAGCGCCACTGCCTGCTGCCATTGGTATCCCTTCTCGCACGCGCTGATCCCAGCGCTGTAGATGATGACGTCGGACTTAACACTCGACTCCAACATCTCGCTCAGCAGCGCCAGCGCCCGCTGCCACTGACCACCCTTCTCGCACGCGCTGATCCCAGCGCTGTAGATGATGACGTCGGACTCTAACTTTGCCTCACACATCTCGCTCAGCAGCGCCAGCGCCCGCTGCCACTGCGCGCCCTTCTCGCACGCGCTGATCCCAGCGCTGTAGAGCGTGCACCCGTGGAAAATCTGCGGCAGGCAAATCAAAGTATCGGCCCCGAACGCGTAGATATCGCCGACGCGAGCAAAAGAAAAAAGGAACGGGCGGAACCAGAGAGAAGAGGGTGAAGTTTCGTAGAGGCAGAGGAGGGGGACGACACGAAATGACATGGAAAAGGAGCTTTCTGGCCTCGTGTTGGGTCTGGTTATTTATTTGAGGCTTCTGTCGGGGAGGCTCCCTCTGCCACCCCAAAATCGGCCATGGGAGAGCGGGGGGGGCCGAAGCTTTCCGGTGTGTCCGGTGAGGAGGGGAGAGGAAGATGAGGGGAAGGAAGGTGGGCAGGAGGTATCAAGAGGAGGAGGAGGAGGAGGAGGAGAAGGAGGAGGAGAAGGACGAGGAGAAGGAGAAGGAGAAGGAAACGGGAGAGGAAGCGAATATAAGAGGAGATAAGAGAAGAGAAGATAAGAGCGGGGAACAGGGAGAATGGCTTTTGGGGCGTTATCTGGGGTTCGGATTTGTGCTGGGTCTTCCGGTGATCCAGAACGGTGACATGTGTCTCGGCTTGAGGCTCTCTTGGGAGGTCCTTGGCAACCATCGAAGCCTCGTGGAGAGCTGCGGGGCATGTAGAAGTGGCCTGGGGCCTTTTGAGGGATCTGGAACATGTTGGGGGGCTTCTGAGGGTCCAGCAGCGGAGAAGTGTGCTGGGGCTTGAAACTCCCTTGGGAGCACCCTGGCAGCTGTCGGAGCCTGTTGGGAGGCTCTACAGCATCTCGGAGCGGTCCTTCTTGGACAGCTCTTGGGGCCCTCTTGGGCCGTTTTCGGGCCCCCGTGGGTCGCCTGAGAATCGAGAGACGGCGCAAGGTGCTGGGGCTGCAGGCTCCTTTCGGAGCTCATCGACAGCTGTCGGAATTGGGAGGCTCTAGAGCACCTCGGAGTGGTCCTTCTTGAATCTTTCTAGGAGCCCTCGTGAGCCACTTTGGGGCTCTCTTGGCCATTTTGTAACCCTCTTGGGCCGTCTCGAGGGCTTCTTGGGCCGTCTTGGGACCATAGTGCGACCCTCCTGTGGCTGTCCAGGAGGACCACTCGAGGTTCTGCTCGGCTATCTGGGGCCTGTTCTGGGCCGTCCCGTCTTGGTATGCTCGCCAGGGCCTCTTAAGTAACTTTGGGGGCGCTCTTGGAAGGACGTGGAGCCGCTTGGGACCGTTCGGGGCCCGTTATGGGAAGAGCGTGAAACACCTTAGCACGCCGTTCACTTGTTTTCTGGCCTGGTGGGGCCGTCTTCGGGGCCCTCGTGAGCCGTCGCTGGGGCCTTCTGGCGCGTCTCTGGGCCATCTCTGGCAACCACTGGTTTCTCGCTCCGGGTCCTCTCGGACAGCCCCAGCAGCCCTCCAGAGACCGTCAGGGTCGTCGCCGTCTGAAGCCAAATTTGTGGCCATCGGGGGACCCGACGGTGCCAGAGTGGAGCGCCCAGAAGCGCGCGAGGATCTCGCGCTGCTCGCCCTTCGCGCACGCGCTGACCCCAGCATTGTAACAGAGCACGTGGGGCTTCACCGTCGCCTCCCACATCTCGCTGAGCAGCGCCAGAGATTGCTGCCACTGATCACCCTTCTCGCAGGCGCTGATCCCAGCGCTGTAGCTGATGACGTTGGGCTTCACCTTTGCTTCCCACATCTCGCTGAGCAATGCCAGCGCCCGCTGCCACTGCTCGACCGTCCCGCACGCGCTGATCCCAGCGCTGCAGATGACTAGTGTGAACCCGTGGATTAAATCCACGGTGTGCTAAACCTGGAACTCGCACACCGCGAATGAAATTGAACAGCTCGGGCGTCCCTGGGGCCGTGTCGAGGGCATGTTGGGCCCTCCTGCGAGCCTGTCTGGGGCGCCTTGAAGGCCTCTTGCGGTTTTTGGGCGCCTCTGGGGCCGTTCCCGGGCAGTACTGGAGCCTCTTCTAGGGGACAGCCCGGGAAAGTTATTTTGCGTGCGTGCTGTGAGGTTGCTGTCAGAAGGCCCCCCCTGTCACCCCTAAGGTTAGCTGCAGGCTCTGGGAGCCCGGGCTGGAGGCTGTCTTCGAATATCCTTGGGGGGTCTGCGCAATCTCGGAGTGGTCCAGGGAGAGATCTCGTGGTCTCCGAGCTGTCTTGGGGGCCACCGAGGGCTCTACCCGGCCGTAGTGGGGAGCGAGACGCTGGTCCCTGCAGTGTTTGCAGGTCCCCCCCCTGTCCCTCCTCATCGGCCGCATATGGGGAGCGACCCATGAGGCGGAGTAGAGGCCCCAGAGAGGCAGGAGCATCTCTCTTGGGAGCTCCGTGGAACTGTCGGAGTCTCTTGGCAAACGTCGGAGTTGTGTGGGCGACACTGGGGTATCTCGGAGTGGCCCTGGGACCGCTCTTGGGAGCTCTGTGGGGTCAATCGGAGTCTCTTGGGAGGCTCTGGGGCATCTCGGAGTGGTCTGGGGACTGCCTTGGGGGTCTGGGGCTCTCTTGCGGGCGTTGGGGGTTCGAGAGGCGGCGAAAGGGTGCCGTGGCTCGAGGCACTCTCCTTGGAAGCTCCTTGGGAACCATCGGAGTCTCTTGGGAGACTCTGGGAATGTGGGAGTGGTCCTTGGCGGGTTTTTGGCCCATTGGGGGCTGCGGGAAGGGCGTCGTCAGGGCTCCCTTCGGCCCCTCTTCGAGACGTCGTGGGGGTTTCTCCAGAGCCTCTATGGGGCCCTCTTGGCCTATATTGGGGGTTTCTTGAGCCGTCTCGGGAGCCTCTTGGGCCGTCCTGGAACCATGTAGTGGGTCTCGGGAGAGTGGTTGGTATTCCGAAGAAGTGTGGTGCGTCACGCCCGATTGGCGTGGCAAGTGTACTCTTGAGAAGCTGGCTTACAGCGTGTGAAGAAGCGTTTCCTGCACCACAGGCAGCTCAGCTTGCTTGTAAAGCGGAGACCTCAGTGTGCCATGCAGTGTGTAGTTGGTTGAGAGCGTGTGTGACTGCGCAAGCGGGCATGGAGCGTGACCTCAGCAAGTGCTACGACCAGGTCCCCCACGAGGTGGGGATAGCCTCACTCCATGCCGCTGCAGTTCCCTCGGACCTGGTGGCGGTGTCTTTCGCGGCGTGGTCTGGCCCACGACGTTGCCAAGTAGCTGGAGCACTATCTGGTGAAGTGGTCTGGCCATCCCGAAGTCTGGCTCAGGGAGACTCCTGTGCGCCCAAGGTCCTCTGCTCGGTGCTCGCGCCCTGGGAGGTCGAGGGCGAACAGTTCCTGTTCATGGACGACCGCTCCCTGGTGTGCAAGAACGACCAGCAGCTGATCGACAACATCGCCACGACCGACCGCTTCGACGCCGAGACAAGGGGGCCGTGGAGAACCGAAGCAAGCGCCAGGAGTGGCACCGCGGCGAGTTCTGCCGCATCGAGCACATCGGGGTCGAAGCCGTCCCCGATGACCCCACGGCTCCCGTCACGCCAGCGGGAGGATGGAAGAAGGTGTACGCAGCCATCGCTGCACTACGACAGTTACCTGGAAGTTCACGTACGCGACTACGAGCTGCTGGTGCATATGGTGTACCTCGATGGCGTTGGTGTTGCCCAGTATTTACGCTACCACCTGTGGATGTGGCTGCGAAGCTTATGAGTTCTATGTTGCGGACGAAGTGCCTCTGGTGGTGCCGTGAACGCTTTTGGTCCTTGCATATTCAATACCACCCACTGGTTTCGAATGTTCTCACGGCCGTGCGCCGATTGACGGATTGGGAGATGGACTACAACTCCTGGATCGAGCACAGCCTGCAGACCTTCTTTGAAACGAATGGTTGGGTTTTCGTGCAGTACGATACGGAGAGAAGCGTCAGATTCCAGCTGGACCCAGGGGAGTCGGACCCGAGGATGAAGCGTATCTTTCAAGGCCGTCAGGGCTGACCGAATACCTTCGAGAATAAACACTAGGGGATAATAAAGTTCGGGGTTCAGGGGGAGATAATCAAAGTAGCCCACCAGACCTCAGCATAATCTCGAAGTAAGAGATGATCAAGAGGAGACCAAGCCGAGCACGTTTTGAGACATCCTTGGCGTTTAGTCTTCATAGAAATATCCTCAACAATGGCTTATCTCGCTGGAGACATCCTCGACAAATCCCTCGATAATAAATGAAAAAGGATAAAGAGAAGAGGAAAGGAGGATAAAACAACAAATCTGAAGATTCAAATGTATTAAATGTTATTCACAAACGCTTTACGAACATTATTTTTTTAAGTGCTCGTGTAGGGTAGCTCACGTGCCTCGTTTTCCCTGGATGATCAACCCCAACGGTAAACAAGTTCAGGGCGCCAGGGGGATGAGGAGGAGAAAGAGATAGAGAGACAGAGAGAGAAAGAGAAAGACAGACAGAGAGACAGAAAGAACTACAAAGAGACAGAAGGACATTGGTTTCGCTTGAGACATCCTGAAACAACGTGTTCGTGTCGCTTGATGTTGTTATCTCAACATAAGAAAGAAGTAACTTCGATGGCGAACTTTTCCCGTGATAATGAAGTTCGGCCTCCGCGCCCCCGCGCCCCCGACCAAACTCTTATTGGTCGACGATAAAAAACTCTAACGACTTAAGGGGGGTCACTTTATTCTCATCGGCATGGGGTTATTGGAGTTCCGAAGGTGATCGAATATTTCATGTTCTGCGAGCTGTATGTCGTGTGCGTGCTCTGACGGCGGCGACTCCAGCTCGTCGTGATTTCCCTGGAGTGAGTGATGTTGATGTCGAAGCCCTTTCGGGCAAAGCGTGGAAGAAGTTTCGGGACGCCCTCTCCCCAGCGGCGTGGCAGAAAGTTATCGTATACATGTGTGGGGCGGCCAGCTCACACACGCGCGGAAGGAACCACGACTTCGATTGTGACCCGTACTGTCCGTGCTGCGGTGGGCCCCACTGGCCGTCCATCCGTCACTGCGTGACGGAGTGTGCCGCCTTCGCGGATTTCAGGAGCCAGCTCACCACCTTCTACGGCGTGTCGGCGACCTGGTGGACCAGCCAACCGAGAGTTACCTCGAGTTCGGGATGGATCACTCTGTCGGCACATCGTGTTGCTGAGCGGAGATCAGAGCTGATGGTGATGCAAGTCCGCATGGGCTTGTTCTATGTATCCACGGGTTTGGGAATGCGGAGCCATAAGACGTCTTGTGCTGGAGGAAGACTGCCTGCTTGAGATATCATTTCTTGCAGAATAGTTGTGCAATAGAGCCTGTCAAATGGCCTGATCTTGATCCGACTTGGATGTTCAAGGTTTGCTCCTGTACTTCCTCATCCTGATCTTCATTGATATTATGATGTCTTGGAAGTTGCTACTACGAATATCTTGGTTGTCTGAAGTATAGGTATCCAGGTTCTAACTCCAGTTCGGTTGTTCCTGAAGTACACCTAGCCCAGGCAGTCTTGAAGCTTGGTGGGGTGCCTGTTGGGCAGCTCCTACGGCCCTCTGCGAGCTGTCTTGGGGGCCACTGGGGGCTCCATGAGGCTGTCGCTGGTTTCTTCTGGGAAAACTTCGGGCCCTCTTGGGCCGTCTCGGAGCACTTGGCGGGGCCTCATGGACTGTCTTAGGGCGATCTGGGATGGTCTTGATGCCGTCTGAAGCCGGTCTTGGCCTGAAATGGGGAGAAAACGGGAAACCTTCAACACCCAACGACAATCTATGAATTCGGGCCTTGGGGAACCGTCATCGGGGTCCCGTTGGGGCACCTTCGAAAGCATTTGGCCCGTCGTCGGGCCGTCTTGGGCTGTCATGAGGCTTTGTTCTTTCTTTCGCAAAGCCTGGGACACACACAGTGTCGGCCGGCCGTGCTCGACTACTCGGGGTGTGGCAAGAATGCAAATTGCCACGCTTGATACTTGAACGTCGCATTCCAGAGATGATCGATGGGAAGCGGGACGAGAACGAACCAGGAGAGGGGAAGCGAAGAGGGCGCGAAAGGCGCGATGAGGCACGCCTGCACTCGTCGCGGGCTCTCTGAGGGGAGCCGTGGGCTGGCATGGTATTGCTACATCGGAAAAGATACACCATGCAGCGAGACCCTAAACAGCAACTTGTGTTCGAAGGAACCGCAACGAGCAAAGGGGGCATCGCCGTCTTGGGCTGTCATGAGGCTTTCTTCGGGTTCTCTCGGGACGTCCTCCCGCCATCCCGAGCGTCTCGGAGCGGTCGTGGGGCTGCCCGAGGCAGCCGTCCGAGAGCGGCGGGGCGCTCCGGGCGCTCGGGGGGCATCTCGCGACCTTCTCCCCCCCCTTCGCACGCGCAGCGCCCAGAATTGTAGCACAGAAGACGTCAGGATCCACATTCGCCTCTCGCGTCTCGCGCAGCAGTGCCAGCGCCCACTGCCACTGTTTGCCCTTCTCGCACGCGCTGATCCCGGCGCTGTAGCTGAAGACGTTGGGCCTCACCTTTGCCGTCCTCATCTCGCTCATCAGCACCAGCGCCTGCTGCCACTGCTCGCCCTTCTCGCACGCGCTGATCCCAGCGCTGTAGATGATGACGTCGGGCTCCATATTCGCCTCTCGCATCTCGCTCATCAGCACCAGCGCCTGCTGCCACTGCTCGCCCTTCTCGCACGCGCTGATTCCAGCGCTGTAGGTAATGACGTCGGGTTCGAGCTTCGCCTCCCACATCTCGCTGAGTAGCGCAAGCGCCCGCTGCCACTGCTCGCCTTTCTCGCACGCGCTGATCCCAGCGCTGTAGCTGAAGACGTTGGGCTTCACCTGCGTCTCCCACATCTCGCTGAGTAGCGCCAATGCCCGCTGCCACTGCTTGCCCTTCCCGCACGCGCTGATCCCAGCGCTGTAGATGACTAGGGCTGACCCGTGGACTACGTCTACTTGCGGGGTGAAGGGGTGCTGCAGCAAGGCGAGCAGGATGAATGGCATCATGTTTGCCTGCCACATATCGCTGAGCTGCGGGGGCGCCAGGTAGCGCTGCGCGCCCGTCTGGGAGCCCCCAACGAGCCCCCAACGACACCGACGACGGCGGCGGCGGCGGCGACGACAACGACGACGACGACGATGACGACGATGACGACGACGACGACGACGACGGCGACGACGACGGCGGCGGCGGCGGCTGCGGCGGACGGGCTGCAAGGCTAGGCTGGCCCGATTCAGGGCCACCGGCCCGCTGGCCCAGAGTCGGCGGTGCCCATTCTGGGCGCCCCCCAGCCCGCCGTCCCAGAGTCTTGCCCCGCGCCCGCAGGGCCACGCGCGCCTCTGGAGCCACCCAGCCGATTTTGGGCCCCCTACCCGCCGGCTCGGGCCACCGTGGAAGGTCCCTGACACCGGCTTGGGCGGGCGTGGACCCGAAAAGGCGATCAACCTAAAGTCCTTCAAACACCCGATGAAAATCGTTGAGCTTTGCCTCGTGAGGCCCTCTCAGGAGCCCTCTGGAAGCGCTCTTGGAGTGTCTTGGGGGCTTTTCTGGCCTGCTCGAGGCCATCTTGGACAATCTTGGAGCCCTATTGGGTCATGTGGGGGCCCTCCTGAGCGTCCTGGACAGAGCCGTCTTGGCAGCCTGTGGAGACGCTCCTGTTTTTATCGATATAGGTTTAGCATAATGTTCTTTCCCGTGAAGCCCAACATTCCAGCTTACGGGAGGCCAGGATTGCTCGTATGTGTTTCAGGGATGGATGTACTGTCGTTGTCATATTATGGCTCAAGGCCAAAATGCATATGTTCATCCTGCTGCTGCCACAGTTGGTAGCGGAGCAGTGTTCGGCGCGGCATGCATGGGCGCCCCCAGGCACCGCTGATCAGCGGTGGTGTCGGGGGCAGCTCGGGCGGCTGCGCGGGCGCTGCTCTCACCGGACTGGACAGAGCGCGGATCCACGGCAGGCATTGATGCCAGGGCCAGACGACACTGGCCCAGGAGACGAGAAGAACGAGACGTACGCCGTCATAGGCGGAGGACGCTTGGCCCAGTCAGAGGGGACTGGGGAGGGGACGGCGTCACCGCCACCCGTCGGAGGCGCAGCGAGCTCGAGCCCACGGGTCACGGAGCAGCTGAAGCAGCTGATCCAGCAGGCCGTGAAGGACGCAGTGAGGAACCTCGGCCCGGGGCTCAGCCAGAGCGCCGCTGGCGCAGGCGACGACTACGGCGGCACCAAGAGCGGCCGGCAGGAGAGCTCTAGGGTTCAGGATCCCTGGAGCGACGGCCGTGATCCATGGAAGAACGGACAGCCGGAGCCTGACGAAAGCAAGTGGGGCCCCGGGGGCCGACAGCAGCAGGACACCAAGCGGGACGACGTCAGGGACTCCGACTGGAAGGACGACGACAAGGGCGGCTGGAGGAATCACAACTGGAACGAGGGCGGCTGGTCAAAAGGTGACTACTCAGACCCACCTGCATGGCCAGGATGGGGCCACTACCGCCTGTGGAAAAGGGCGATCCAGCGGTGGAACCGCAACACTGACGTGCAGCTGTGGAGGCGGTCGGAGCGCTTCCTGAAGTTGTTCGACTGGACGATGCAGGCGAAGTTCGAGGACATCAGCGAGAACGTGCTGTGCGGGCCCCGCTGGCTGGACACGTTCCTCGAGAGAATGGACCTCATGAGCGGCCAGCGAGAAGGCGACGACATGCGCAGAGCGGGTCGCAGAGCACTGTTCGAGTGCACGAAGGGCCAGAAGGAGAGTCTCACGCAGTTCGTAGCAAGACGAGACCAGCAGATGACTGACGCCGAGAGCCATGACATATGGATGTCGGATAAGATGAAGGGCCTCATGCTCGAGGAGGGTGCGGGACTGAGCGCGCAAGGTCAACAGAACCTGCGCGCCCTCACCAAGGGCAGCCTAGACTACAGGGACGTGGCCTGGGCTCTCAGGCAGCTCGACTACGGCAGCGGCGAGAAGCTGCTGCCCGGCAGCAGTGCCTCGCACCCAGTCCTGGCCGCAGAAGACGGCGAGGACGGACGAGGCCACAGCTCTCTCCCTCTTCCTCACTCGTCCTCCCAGGCTTGCCAGGTCTCGGGCTCCGGGACCGCTCGACAGGACGAAGAATCGTACTACGACGAGTCGGGAGAGGATCCAGACGAAGACGAGGAGCTATCCGAGACAGACCTCATGGCCATTTTGGCGGAGATTGAGGATCTGGATCTCGACGAGGACGACGCCACCGAGGCCTTCGTGCAGATGACGGGCAAGGTGCAGCGCAGGTCCTGGAAGCAGAACAAGGACCTGAAGCGCGCGGCGAAGCAGGACCGCGAGTTCTACGGTGCACGACCTCGCCGGGGCGACGACGATGGACGCCGCGGTGGGGGCGGCCGAGGCGGCACAGGAGGCCGAGGCCGCGCGCGCGGACGAGGCCGAAGAGGAGATAGGCCGAAGGATGCCGGCGCCACGAGTCAGAGGATCCTCAGGCTCATGAAGGTCACCCGCTGCAAGAACTGCAACGAGAAGGGCCACTGGTCACGGGAGTGTCCCCAGCCGCGGAAGGAGGATGGCGGCAAGGGTCCCGATCGGTCAAAGCGAGGTCTGGCCGGGTACACGTTCGACGGCTGCAGCTACCCGATCATGAACAACGACGAGCTCGAGAAGCTGAAGGACATCCGGAAGGAGGCGCGGGCCATCGAGGTCTACCTCAACGCCTCCGTGACGCAGGGCCTCGTGGACCCAGGGGCCGGCAGCGACATAGTGGGACTGCCATCACTGAACCGAGAGGCCGAGGCGCTGGCTCGTCACGGTCTTCGCTACGTAGTAGTACCAGGAGAGTTCAAGGCGCCCAAGAAGGCGCATGGCATCGGAGGCGAGGCAAAAGTGATTTGTACCATTCTCTATCCGATGTGCCTCGGCGGAGTGATGGGAGTTGTGGAGACCACGGTGCTGAACGAAGACGTTCCGCATATACTGAGCGTCAATCTGCTGGATTTCCTAGGCTGCGTGCTCGACCTTCCTCGTAATCTTCTGATTTCGCAGTTTTTAGCTCAGGACATTCCTGTCACCAAGCTGGGCTCAGGTCACCGCATGGCCGATATCGTGCGGGAAACTAAGGGGAGCCACACTACCCCAGACAGTGCGCTTCGGAAGTATCCTTTTCTGACAGCGTCTTCTTTTGTACTGGCCACTGGGCAACCGTCACCTGTGATGAGCGCCAGCGGAGAGATGAGCGCTTACAGGGTTGTCCTCTACCTCCTTCCCCTCAGCTTCAATCGGATCGAGCACAGTACAGTACGCCAGGGCCGAGCCCGGGGACAACACTTATCGATCGAGCTCGAGTTTAGCGACCAGCACCAGCCGCGAGCTCAGTGGAGCGGCCTAGCGACGGTCCGGGCCTCGGGATCCCGCGGAGAAGCTAAGGATGAGGAGTACCACCAGAACCAGGCCAGTGAGACGACCAGAGCCCTCGACCTCGGATCAGCGTGTAGGGCTATTTACGACCTCGGGGCTCTCGGTCTCTCGGCGATAACCACGTGGGTTCAGATTGTCCTGGTGATTTCCGTGGCCAGTTTGGGCTCAAACTCGTTTAGGCGATTCCAAGTTTCCAATCTCGATCGCCTTCGGAGTCACATCCTGGGCGATTCACTCCATGTTCATGTTTCGTGTAGCGATGGTGCTGGCTCTCGGCACGCACCCCGCCGTCGGAGGCAAGAAGAAGGAGCCTGTTGCCAAGCAGCTTACCGAGGAGTTGCTGGCGCAGCGCCACGCCGAGAGAGAGGAGGACTCCGAGGTGTCCTCGGAGGTGTTCGAGTCCTCAGCCGGAGCAGCCGGCTCGGCGGCACACAGCGAGGCGACGGCGGCGGCGGGCAGCGATGTGCCCATGCCCCAGCAGCCACCCGGAGTCAGCAGTTCCTCGGGCGACCAGCAGCACCAGGCGCTCGCGGCGTTACAAGGGCTGCCGACACCGACGAGCCTCGGACCCGCCCAGGCCGCGGCGAGCCCCCTGGTGGTGAAGGCACCCCCTCCACACCTTCAGCAGCAGCAACCCGCATCGAGACCGCAGCCAGCGCTGTGGGGGGCAGCAGCCGCAGCGTCTCAGTGGCCCCCAGCTCCACCGATCGAGGGGACCATCCAGCCGACGATGCCCCAGGCGCTGTATGCCCTAGCCCAGGCGGGTGTCGAGCACCGCGGCCAGCCACCTCTGCCATCAGGACCGCCTCTAGCGGCCGTAGCAGCGGAGGGGACGGCGGCCGCCACGGCAGCTGGAGGAGGAGCGACGGCGCCGACGCCAGGGGTGCTATTCGGGCCAGCGGCGGGGAAGCCACCCCCCAAGGCATCGCCCCACTGCAGTCATCCAGCCTCGGCGATCAAGTACTACGGGAACCAGCACGGCTCGGGATCGAGGTGCACTCTCTGCGGAGCGCGCATTGCATGGATTCCCGGAGGCCGCGCTGGTCAAGGAGGTGCACCGGCAGTGCCAACGGCGGCCGAGGCCGCGCGGGCAGCGGCGTCATCCGCTCAGAGGGCGGTGGACCTCCTGACCAGCGACCCGCAGTTCAAGGCGGGAGGCGCGGCGCTGACGACGGTGAATCAGCTGTACGGTTTGCTCCAGGGTCTCCAGTGGCAGCTTCAGGCGATTCCAGAAGGAGTTCGTGCGCTGGGTCAGGTGCAGTCGGTGGTGGACCAGATGATCCAGGTCGCGACGCAGACCCAGCAGTTTCCTACGCAGATGGAGGAAGGGCTCCAGCAGATATTCCAGGGCATCACCGCCATCAAGACGCAGCTCACCGGGATGGCGGACTTCGCGATAGCCATCGACACGCTCCAGGAGTCGGTCAACGCCATCGCGGGCACGCTCTCCGGGATGGAGACAGCGATCGGCCAGATCGGATTCATGCTCGTGAATGTGGGCACAGCAGTGGCGGCCATAGCGCACGTGGCCAACGGGGGGCAGCAGGTCGAGGACCAGTGGCACGTTCCTCAGCAGGCAGCTGCAGCAGCGGTGGCAGCAGCTCCCTTTCACCAGGCCCCGACAGCGGCCATCGGCGCGGCCGGCTCGGCAGCGGCATCCTCGTCCGGGGCAGCCAGCCCTCCTCCGCCGTCCTACCCGCCACCGATCGACGACCAGGCGACAGTGGCAGGCGGGGACCCCTGGACGGTTACCGACCCGTACGGGACGGGGACCACTACAGCACCGACCATGTCGGGAGCAACGACGGCGACTACGACGCGTCCTCCGTTGCCGACGATCCCAGAGGCGAGCCTCGACTCATGGGAGGTGCTCGGGAACGATCCCGAGCCAATGATCTAGCGGGCTCATACGTGATTCTGGCCGCTGCCACTCAGTGTGGCCGAGCTGCCTCTGGCGGCTGCAGTTGTGCAGCGCAAAAGGCATCATCATTATCTCCAGCATCTACCCAAGTCAGAGATGGTCGCTCGATTCCGACGTTTCCTGTGTTTGCCTCGGTCGTTGGACCTCAGTCGCCAGTGGAGGGACACAGCTCGAAAAGCGATTTCGAAGGAATCGAGTGGCAGGACGGGGACAACTTTAACGACGACCACGAGGTCACACTGCCCAAGCAAGTTCGGCGAGCTCTAGAACTCAGGGCCAGGCCGGACGGGTCCCAGGAGGGACCAACTACGGAGCTGTTTGTCTCAAAGAATCGAGGAATCAGCTTTATGGAAGTGTTTTCGCCTCCTAGGATCGCGCCCAGAGTGCAGCGCCGTGGGGGAACTCTGGGGGTCAAGCCTAGTTGGGATCTGAGGACCGGGTGGGACTCCAGGAGAGCGAACGACCAGTTAGATCTCTGGGCGGCCATAGAGAAAGAGAAGCCAGACATGATCTGGCTGTGCCCGCCCTGCAAGGTTTTCTCGGCTATTAGTCGCATCAGCAGAGCCGTCCGAGACCCGTTTAAATGGAAGCAGGCCGTAACTGACGGGGTCAACGATTTAATCCTTTGCATGCGCATAGCCCTGTACCAATTGGAGCGAGGGCGGTACTTCGCGTTTGAACACCCTCTGTTTGCGAGTTCCTGGGCGACTAAGGTAGTACAGTTGGTCGCTCAGCTTCCAGGCGTTCGCCGGGTTCGGATCGATATGTGTATGTTCGGGCTCCGAGTCACTAAGGATGGCCTCAACAAGAAGCCCACCGGATTGCTCACCAACCACCCTAGGCTCTCAGAGATCATGGACGGTAGGCTGTGTTCCGGAGACCACCAGCATGTGCTCCTAGAGGGGAGTAGCAGGACTTCCCGGGCCCAGGAGTATCCGCCCGCGTTTGCCGAAGCCGTGGCTCGTGCCGTCACCGAGCAGTGGAGCGGCGTCAGCAGGTCAAGGTCACCCACGTGGGCCGAGCTTAGCGAGAGCCACTTTCCAGAGGACGCGGAGCCCTCCCTCGAAGATCCGGAAGGTCCCGGGGAAGCAAGCGGAAGCGAGGCGGAAGAACACGAGACGCGGGGCCCAGGAGCCTCCGGACCAAAGGAACCCCCTCCCGAGCCGACAGAAGAAGAAAAGCGTTTGCTGTTCCGTTTACACGTGAACATGGGTCATCCATGCAACCGAAAGTTCGTGCGGGTCCTCAGGGCCGGAGGCGTGAAGATACACCTGCTTCGCTGGATCAGAGACGTGTTTAAGTGCTCGGAGTGTGCCGAGCGAGCTCGCACCAGCAGCCACCGCAGGGTGGCACTTCCCAGGACGTTCAGGTTCAACCACATAGTGGGTGTCGATCTTTTCTTTGTTCCCTTCCAGGAGAGGACCCTGGCGTTTTTGAATGTCGTGGACCACGGATCCAACCTGCAGGTCTGTGTGCGGGTGGAGGAGCCCACAGCGGCTCAGGTTTGGGGAGATTTCGTGAGAGCGTGGATCCGTCCTTTCGGGGCTCCTCATTTTGTTTTGTCGGACGGGGGCTCTGAGTTCGAGGGTCGGTTTGCCCGAGGACTCGAGCAGTGGGGAGTTCTCCACCACGTGTGCGACGCGAACTCCCCATGGCAGAACGGACGCGTCGAGAGACACGGAGGCTGGATCAAAGACAGGATCAAGGGAGAGGTGGAGTCCGGTTCTGCTATTCCCGGGGACGTAGGGGAGCTCGAGGAGCTTGTCTACGAGCTGTGTGCCCATAAAAACCGTTTCTGGCACCGGGGCGGGTTTTCTCCGGTCCAGCTCGTTTTTGGCGAGAACCCCCGGATGCCACACGAAATACTGTCGGATGATCACATGGGCCTTCCAGGCTGGCAGGACTCCATACGACCGGCCTCGGAGCTCGACTCCGCGGGCGCGGAGTTTGCCCGGTCGCAGCGTGTTAGGGAGTTAGCGCGTCGCCTGGCTTTAGAGATCACCGCCAGGGACAAGGTTGCCAAGGCCACCAAGGCGAGGGGACCCAGCCAGGACCAAGCGATGTTCCGTCCAGGCCAGTGGGTTTTCGTCTGGCGACGCCTGACCAAAGCGGGTCCTAGGGCCGACACCCTGGGTCGCAGGCGGGACGCGTGGACGGGTCCCGGGGTCGTGGTCCTGTGCGAGCATGGCACCGTCTGGGTTGCGGTGCGGGCGCGTCTCTGGAAGTGCTCTCCAGAACAGGTTCGTCTGGCCAGTGCCGAGGAGGAATACGGCATCCAGGTTGCCCAGGATCCCCGGTGGTCCGAGCTTCTCTCCCAAGCTCAGGCCAGGAGAGCGACGGCGGTGGACGTCCAGCGAGAAGGTCCCCCCCCCGACGAAGCGTGGGACCAGCCGCTGTCTCCAGAGGTGGACTCGGCGCCTCAGGTGCCCCCGGGACCCGAGCCAGAACCACGGCCGGATGCGCCTCGAGAAATTCCGAGTGCGAGACCTCCAGGGCCTGCTCTGGTTCACCGTGGGTTCGATCCGATCGGGCCCAGGCCTCCGAGGGGGGTCGGGTCCCGGCCGTCATCGGCCGGGGGCTCTGCGGTCGCCCGGGCCGGATCCGAGCGAACTCGACTCCCGTCCATCTCCGAGGGATCGGCGGCGCCCAAGAGGGTCGGGAGGTGACAGCACCAAAAGCATAGGGCGACTACCGATAGTAAGCCTGGTCACCCTTGAAGTACGGAACCTCGGTGGCCTGCACGGCAACCGCGCCAAGGGCGCACACGTGCCGCCGACCACCGAGGAAGGGCCCCTCTGGGATCACCCACGGGACGTCTGGGGTTTGCTTTGCAGGGGCCCAACCAAAAGACGCCCGTGGGGCCCAGAGGGGCCAAGAATGATCACACGGCTCTGCGGCCTCAGATCGTCATCAGCCTGACGCGCCACCAGCACAAGGCCCGCATCGATCAGCATGCCGATGGTTTCCTGGACAGCGCCCTGCAGCTCGTACAACTCGTCAACTGTCTGGATGCTGTCTTCTACGTTCTCGAGGTACGAAGCCACGACCTCGCCCTCTTGCACCTCCTCGCCGAGAAACTGTGCTGCCAACATTCGCAGAATCTCCTGTGGAAGTGCATCGCCTGTATCTGTATCTTGAAGAGACCTTGAAACGGCAGAATCTGGAATCACCACGACTGCCGTCTTGGGATCGGCATCGTGTCTCTCTTCATGCTGTATCTCAACTTCCGAAGAACAACTCAGAACATGCGATGAGACTGCTTCGGCATGATATGAATCTGAAAACGTATCTGGTGCACCACGATCTTGCAGCGAGCTTCTATCAACCGAAACTTGAGTCTCCACCTGACTGCCACCATTCAGAGAACCTGGTATCACCATGATTTCCAACTCTAAAGCATCATTGTGTCTCTCTTGAAACTCTGTCCCAACCGCCGAAGGATTACTCAAAACATTCGAAGAGATAATCTCGGCATGAGATGAAGCTGAAAACGAAAACGTATGTGTGGCACCAGTGTCTTGCAGAGAACTTGAAACAACAGAGTCGTTGCTGTCACCGCTGCCAACGCCCAGACGAGTCACATCCTGCATCGGCGGCGGCGTATACTCGCCTGCATCACCTCTTTCCACAATAATCTCGCAGCTCGTGCCCACGCCAGCGCCTGCAGCTAAGGCCTCGGGAATCTCCACACCGAGACCAGCGAGGAGCACTGCAGGATTACAAGGCTCAGCCCAGCAACCGGGGGGCCTGCTGGGCCAGTACGGAGTCGCCGACCTGGACAATCCGACCTCGATCTCATCCTGCAACTTCGCGTGCTCGGGCGGGGGCCTGAAGCGCTCCTGCCCGGGCGGCGGGGCGTGCCGCGCCCAGTTGCCCAAGGCGAGGTCTTCCAGCACCTCCTGGAGACCGTCCTCGAGCCCAATGAGCCGCGCAGCCGCCACCGTTTCCCCAAACTTGGGGGCATGAGCTCCGAGGCGGTCGGCCAGCTGCCAGTGTGCTGCCAAAGCACGCCGCAGCGCCGCCGTCCGCCATGCCAGCGCCGTGGCCCTCGTCTCGCCGACTTCTCGCCGACGTTCACGCCGAAGGCGCCGCGCGAGGGTGCGGGCGGAGGCCGCTGCCCACGCCGCCCCGCACCCCGAATGCACCATGGCCTCTTGCGAACGCGCGCGCGCCCGAGGGCCTGCCGTGAGCCAGGCTCGCTTGAGCCAAAATGGCTACGGACCCATCTCCGAGGGAGACGGCCAGGGAGAGGGCGGGCCACCCACGAGGCAAGACACTCCAGAGGACGAGGACACCCTCGACCCTGCTCCCCCTATCCCTTCCTCTCCTCCTCCTCCTCTCCTTCCTCCTAACCCTGTGCCCGCTCCCGCCGTCAACGAGGACGCCTCTGGTGGAGCCAGCAGGCCAGGGAAGTCTAGACTGCCTCAGCCCAGCGATGTGCCAGCCTGTATTCGCCAGCGTCAGGCTGAGACTCGAGCGGCGAGCTGTCCTCCCGAGGTTGTCGAAGTCAAGCGTGCCAGGATAGAGCCACCTCCAGGACTGGGTCTTTCCAGCAGCTCTCCTCAAGGGAGCGAAGGGCCGAGTGCCAGTGCTGCCGCTGCCGACGCCGAGGAAAGAGACGAGGACGGGGGGCCAGGCTTTGTGGGGCGTAGGGTTCAGGAAATCGAGTCGAGGGTCCGACCGGAAGGCTGGGTGTCATTCGCGGTCGAAACCACGGAGGCGGGCGTTCTCTTGGTTGAGGAGAAGCGCGGAGCCGATCTTGAGGTCCTGGCGGCAAGCCGCGGAGGAGAGGTTAGCCTCAACCGACTGACGCCTGCCGAGCGCAGCAAGTTTGAAGTGTCAGACGACACCGAGTGGCAAAATATGGCCAACTCGGGTGCTGTGGAGATCATAGCGCCTAGGGAGGCGGGAGTGATTAGGCGAGAGCGACCGGACCGCATCATCACGAGCCGGATGGTTCGACGGTGGAAACCTGTTGAGGGCACGTTTTCTGAACCAACCGCCAAGTCTCGGTGGTGCGTCCACGGACACAAGGATCTGGATACCGGGTCGCTATTCGTCTACTCTCCCACCCCCCAGACTTCTTCCATACTTATGTTCATCCAGGTGATGATGAATCTAGGCCACCTAGGGGATATTGCGGACGTGAAGAATGCTTTCTGCCAATCGGATCCTATGAGCCGTGCTCAGGGAGAGATCTACGTGGAACCATGCGAGGGCATCAAGGTTGAAAAGGGGTCCCTCATCAGATTGCTGGTGAACGTCTACGGGTTGGACGATGCCCCCCTGGCCTGGCGCAAAACGATAGTAGGGTATCTTAGGGCCAAGGGATTCACGCGGAGTCTCCTAGAGCCCTGCTGGTGGATCAGGTACGCGTCAGACGGGACCATTCTCAACATGATCCTACTTGAAGTCGACGACTTCTTTATCGCCAGCAATTCAGAGACGTCCCGAGCCTGGATCCGGGAGACCTTGGTCTCTAGGTTCAAGTTTGGGAAGTACAGGGACTGTCACCGCGGTCCTGTCGAGTACGCTGGCCGCAGCGTGAGGTTCGGGCCCCAGAAGACGACGATCGACCAGGAAAAGTATATACTGGAGGAGGTGAGGACGATTAGCCTCGAACGGGGTCGACTGGGTCAAAAGTCCTCTCCCCTTACCCAACCCGAGTTCAAAGCCCTCCGGTCCCTGATTTATAAGTTGAACTGGGTCGGTCGTGAATCTCGTCCCGAGGCGGCCGGCACCGCGAGCATCCTTGCTAGTAGGTTGAAGGACGCCACCACGGGGGACGTTGCCATCGCGAACAAGATGGTAAGGCATCTCCGTGCCACGGCCTCGAGAGGCCTCATCATTTGGCGTTTGGACCCGGAACGGATGGCGTTCGTTTCTTTCTCCGATGCGGGGGGTGTAGGAGCCAACGAAGGACTTCTGGACCACCAGGGGCTCCCCGCCGACCCAACTCAGGGGGCTTGGATGGTCTTAGCGACCGATAAGAGCGTGATAGATAACTGTGCTGTCCGCGCGTCCACCCTGGGATGGCGAAGTTCCAAGCTTAGAAGGAAAGTCACGTCTACTCTGGCCGGCGAGACTCAGGCTCTCTCGGCGGCAGTGGCGGAAGTAGAGTTTCTCCAGGTCTTGTATAGAGACGTGGTTTTCGGAGATGTGGATGTGTCAGACATGTCCCGGTGTTCAGGTCCGTTTACGACGGTACTCCGTAGGGACTGCCGACTAGGCGGGCGGGAAGATCAGGTTCACGTGGTGGATGCGAAGAGTATCTACGATACGATGCTGAAAGAAGGGAATGCTAGTGCCCGCGACCGTCGCACGGCGCTTGACCTAGCCGCCGTGTGCCAGGCCCTGGAGGGGGCTCGGGGTTTTATTCGGTGGATCCCGCACGGCCGCATGCCCGTGGACTGTCTCACGAAGGACGACATCAGCAAGGGCAATGCAGCATTGTCTAATTTACTTGCGACAGGCAAGCTAGTTTTGATAGACGAGGCTGGAGAGATATCCCGCAGGAGGAACCAACCAGGGAGTAAGGACCGATCTCAGGCAGCATCTCGGAGGATGTTGGATCAAGACTCCAGGCTCATATCGTGGGCCGATTTCCAGTCCAGCCCAGCGGTGTCGGAGTCAAGAGACCCGGGCTCTCTCTCTTCTCTCCTTCCTCACCGCCCTCTCCCTGATCACTGACTTGCATGTACAGTTGCTGTATCCTGTTTTGGGGTGCTAAACCTAGGAGAAAGTCTCATCCATGTGGAGACGCTCCTGTTTTATCGATATAGGTTTAGCATAATGTTCTTTCCCGTGAAGCCCAACATTCCAGCTTACGGGAGGCCAGGATTGTTCGTATGTGTTTCAGGGATGGATGTACTGTCGTTGTCATATTATGGCTCAAGGCCAAAATGCATCTGCTCATCCTGCTGCTGCCACAAGCCTGAGGCCGTCTTGGGGCACTCCGGGGGCAGCAGACTCGGGCCGTCTTGGCGGCGCCTCCGGTGGCCCACTTGGGACTCTCTGGGGAGACTCTTGGGGGGTCAGTTTGGGGCTCTTTGGGGTTTTCCTGGGTTTTTTTTCGTGCCCCCCGGGGTCCGTCTTGGGCTGTCCTGGGGCTCCCTGGGGCCGTCTTGGGGTCCTCTTGGGCCGTCTTGGGGCTCTCTTGGGTGCCTCTGGGGCCATGTTGCAGGGGCGGTCTTGGAGGCTCATCCGGCTGTCTTGGAGGCTCCGCCGACCCAAAAAGCGAGCCTGCCAAACATGTACGTTTTCCGAACGGAATGGGGCGATTTGTTGGCTCGTGGGGGTCCTTTGGGGGGTCTCAGGGCTCGTGGGAGCCCTTTGGGGGGCCTTCGTGGTATTCGTGTTTAGGGGCGCTCAAAACGAACAGAGCGCGGCCTCGCGCGGGGTCTTCCTAAGCGTCTCTCGGGGTTCTCTTCGTTCCTGAGATGTTGTTGGGATCCTTTGGGAAGCTCCTCGCGGTTTCAAGGCCGTCCGGGAGGGGCCTCGAGGGCGCCAGGACGGAACCAAAAAGAGCTTCCAGGTGTTCGTTTTGAGGGGCACTCAAAACGAACAGTACCCAGCCCCTGGTGGGGCCGCAACAAACGCGAAGGCGCGGGGAAAAGCACGCACCGGGAGCTCGCAGGGAACCTCGTCAGCAGGAACGTCGAAGTGGCTAGTTTTCCCCTGAACCTGTGTTTTTTTCCCTCCTCAGGTGCTCCTGCCGGCGCGTGTTAGACCGCCCTGGGGCCATTTTGGGCGCGCGGGGGAGGCCGCTGAGCTTGCAGGGCGCCTCCGGAAGCATCTCGGAGCGCCCGAAGAAATCCCAAGAGAGCCCGGAGGAGGCCGCGGAGGGCCCCGAGGCGCCAGAAGCGCGGACAGGGGGCCCGAAGCAACCGAAAAGAACGCGAGGGCGCGGGGAGAAGCACGCACCAGGAGCTGGCAGGAAACCTCGTCAGCAGGAACTTGAAAGTGGCTCGTTTTCCCGAGGAAACGCCTCTTTTCCCCCTCCTCAGACGCTCCTGCCGGCGCGTGTTGGAGTGTCTTGGGCCATCGTGGGCGCGAGGGGGAGGCTGCTGACCTTCCAGGGCGCCTCCGGGGAGGCATCTCGGAGCGTCTCGGAGCGGCCTGGGGCAGCCTCGGAGCCGCGCTGGAGTCGACCAGAGCTTGCTGGGGCGCCCGGGGAGGGCTCCGGAGGGGCCGGCCCGCGGCCACTGCTTAACCATTTGGCGAGCGGTGAACGCTGCATTGTAGGAGAGATGACGTCGGGCTCCACCTTCGCCTCCAACATCTCGCTCAGCAGCGCCAGCGCATGCTGCCACTGCTCGCCCTTCTCCCACGCGCTGATCCCAGCGCTGTAGCTGACTAGGGCGAACCCGTGGACTTCGTCCACGACCAGCAGATTCCCCTGGCGCGCCTCCACGTTGGGCCCCCGCCCAAGAAAAAGTCACCCCGAAGCCGTAGGTGACTTTTTCCGGCCTTCTTTCCGAAATTGGATGGCGGGCGCTTCCTCCTCTTCGTCCGCCTTCCGCTCCACGTCCGCCTGGACAGCCTTCGGAGCGTCACAGACGGCTATGGTGGGTCTGCGGCGTGCCTCTTGCCGCTTGTCTGCTCCCCTTGGTTTGAGCAATGGTTGAACCGCCTGGGCCCTAAAAAAAATCACCCGGAGGGCTCTGGTGACGTTTTTTCCGGTTGCCTTTTCGAAGCCTGATGGCGGGCGCTGCCTTCTCCTTGGAAACTGTTCGGGGGCCTCTCGGGGTTTCTTTTCGGCCTCCTGGGGGCCTCTCGGGGTTTCTTTTCGGCCTCCTGGGGGCCTCTCGGGGCCCTCTTGGGCCGTCTTGCGGCCTCCTGGGGGCCTCTTGGGCCTTCTTGGGTGCCTCCGAAAGGGGCGATTCAGGAATCGGCCCGAGATGGCTCATGGCGCCCTTCGCTTTTGAGAGCCCCTGTGTGAAGGGCTGTTCACGTCACCGCTCGCTCTTGGGAGCTGTGCCTGGGAGAGCTCTCTACGCTGCGGCTTGGGAGCCTTGGTGAGAAGAGCTTTGTACTTCACCGATCGCTCTTTTAGTGGGCGTCTCTGGGCCTGCTTGGTGGTCCTTGTGGGGGTCTTTTTCGGGCCATTCTGTCGCTGTTTTTGGGCTGCTCTGGGACCGTTTTGGGA